AATACTACTGCTTATCATGATCATAATTATGGAGCTTGACCTAAAAACCTTTCTAATTGGGTTTGGGCACAGTGTCATCGTGTTGATAAGGAATTTTCATTGGTTTTAGGTAGCTATCATATACCTACAGCAATCGAAGATGATTACATTTGATATATATTTATTGGTTGGAAAGATCAACGAATTGAAACTGGAACTCTATGTGGAAATCGATATCATTTGAAACTACTAGAATGGCAAATTGTCGATAGTAAAATATATTCTATTCATACTAAAATTGAAGCATGGAATCAACAATATAAAATTGATATCGAATACAAAGCACTAGTAAACAATGATAATCCAGGTGGTCGTGGTTTGTGTTTAAAAGTTTTTGAACAAATTTCTCACTACGAAGCTGTTTTATATGGTAAATAGGAAGAAAATTGACTCATTTTAGAACAAGAATTAACCGGGCATGGTTTTAGTAAATGAAGTCACGCATAACTTTGACTTAATTTATTTTTAAAGCAAAATATTGAAAGCAAATAAAATGAATTACACAGAAATTATCGTCGAGAAAAAAGAGAATTCAACAGTTTCTATTTATAGATATTCATGGAAAGCGTATAAGTAACAATACTTAAATAGACTGATAAATTGTTCCAACGACATTAAAAAAGATTCTTACATCAACATAAGATCCAAATATCTTATATACTTCAAAGCTCGTCTAATGCATGGAACATATTTTCCAACGTGTATATTTTTAATTAGAATTGAAATCAGTGAAAAGATAGAAAAGACGAGGAAAAACAGCTGGATGAAAGTTTGAAAGAAGAATACTGAAAAGTCAAACATATTCAATGACATTGATAATCACTGATAGCCTTGTTTGACTTTTAGTATTGAGTTACTTTTGTTTAATATTACCTATGAAGAAAAAAAGTCAGACGAGATCATCAAATATAGAATCAAATAAAACTAAAAATAAGTATAAAAATCGTAGAAGAAACATCAAAACGTTCTGGAGAGCAGTTACAATTGAAACAATGTACTTACTGAACATCTTTGTTTTTTTTTTTTTGGGATGAATATTTTTACCACGAGCAAACCAACTATTAGGACGAGCAATACTAACACGACAACGATTACGATGACGATCAAAACCATCATCAGTAGTAGTAATAGCACCACTAGAACTGCAATCACAACGGTACTGACGAGCAAAAGGCCAGCTATTACGACAATAAACACAATGACCAACATCAGAATCATTATATTATCGCAACACTCAGAAACATCGTTACACAGATCA